TGCCATTCTTTTCCCATTAGAATAGCCAGGGCAAGGGCCAATGAATTGCCTCTGGACAGTGGAGTAAAGCCATAAGTACAACAATATTTCAAATATATTATCATGAATCCAAGACTGCTAATAATTGGAAGGCTCAGTTGTGCCACAACGAGCAAGTTATACAAGAGTTAAGGGAGGTCAACAGGCAGCTCCATGAGCTCATTGTAATTTATTAGACGCTTCACACAATGCCCCCTTCGCCTGAGCATGGTGGAGAGTGGAAGATCCAGCGAGCACCTCCACCAATCCTTGGCCCTTGCCTGACTGGCCAGGATTTTAGCTATTATCATCAAAATATAGATTCATGCACCTCATCAGCTCCTCTCACTAATGCATGTACAAACATGCCACTTGAAGAAACTGCACCAAGTAATTAACAATAATCAATGGCTGCAGAGGTAAACAAGTAGTTTCCCAGACACAATTGATTCAACCTGTAAATAATAGATAATACAATCTTCATCAAATTTTTTGAAATATATTATTAAAAGTCAGAGGAATAATATTCAATTTCTTCTTGTAAATGGCTACTATTGGCAACAATTAGCTGTCCACCTGAAACCATCACATATTTATTGGAGGGGTTGCAACTCCACAACCTACCCCCGAATAGACTAATATAAAATTCCATCTTTTATGAATTTACAAAGAGGCTTAAGCATTTATTACCAATCCACTTCAAATATCGTCAAGCTGGGTTTACAAATTTTTTTATCAGACCAGAAGTGCCATAAAAACAATTACATTTTAAAATATGCTCTCAATAAACAAACTGGAGCTCCATCTTGGCCACTCACTATTTATCATAATTATAAAGTTTAACTTAGAATTTTGGATCTAGCCTAGTTTAAAATTTTGGCCCAGACCCATTAATTGGTGGCCCTTCCTACACCTCCTCCAAAATAATAGATGCAGCCTCATGTTACGTATATTATGCTACATTATACATTATATGCAACAACAGAGGAAAACCCTACTATTGAAGAAACAGGATGAATGGCTGATGCAAATGTGTCTTGTTGGCATCATTCAATGTAACTCTGAAATTGAGCAACTGAAATAGGTTTCGTAGTTTGTATCAATATAGTGAAGGTGCAGACACTGTAAAGTAAATAGTCATACATGTAGCTATACTGGCCCTGTCTATCAGGACCGAGTATAGATTTTTCAGACAGATGGAATTGTTACAGTATGGAAGATTTTTTTGATTTCCTTTACCGGTTCATAACATATTCCTCCTCTTTGATTTGAAATAATGCCTACTTTATAATTCAATGATGGTAAAGGCACATTAGCTACAAAATCTATTTGTTACTTGAGCTTATGCCTGCCTGTACATACATGTAACAAGAATCAATGGGACAGAGCAACACCCAGCATGTGCTTTATGACACATGATCAACCTCTGCTAAAAAAAACTTACGTTCTGAACATTTACAAAATTACGACAGATCTGCTAGTATAGAAATCGCAATAGCAGTAAAAATGATGACTGTCCACAAACAAAGAAATGATATTTGTACATCATTATTCTAATTCTTTGGCAAGTTTAAGATGATAAAATGGGTAAAAATCAGCACAGCTGGGTGGTTGGAATACAAATGTAGGTTCAGCTAGAAGGTGGTGACCGGCAATGTCTTAAACTGGGCTGAGATTAACCCAATATCATATAATTTTGTTTGAATAGGCCACTCTCACTCCAACTGAACAACATTTTAATTTTGTTTCTGATGATGATGACAGGTATAGCTGTTGTACATGTACAATTGATTATATTATCATGACCAGGAATAAATTTTTGTGTTTTCAACTCTCGCAATGTGATCAATACCATCAATATGATTTACCCAAAATGTTTATAAAATGACTCTAGTGACTCAAACAAGTAAATAAAAGGGATATACAATTCGAAAGTCCAAAAGTTGTAAAAAAAGAAAAGTAATGAATATTGCTACTAGTAGAATTGTTCTTTGTTTCTTGAAAGATAATAATAACATTAAATTTGTCGTCACAATTGAATTGCATGATTGTATAAGGTCTCAAAAAATTTAAAAATCAGATCAGAATCATTAAGATCTGATAGGTTTGTGGAACTTCTTGTCCCAAAACCTTATCAGATCTTGTATAAATTCTTTGTAAAGTCTTATATAAGATATCTTATGTAAAATGTTATAGCTGGGTTGGTGAGAAACCCTGATACCAGCAATCAGTTGACTCTTTTATTGCCTTCCAGTAATGTCATGTTCAGTGAATTGGGTACCAACTTTAGACGAAAAGAGAAACAAAATTTGTTTTTTTTCAGAGATTTCATTGATAAATTTGGATGCTACTATAATAATTTATGTTTTTATAAAGTTGGTGTTATTGTGAACCATTACTAGTCACAAGTTGTTGGCCTCGCCCAGCTCTGCGTAGGCGAGGACTAGGTACTCGGTTTGTCTGTCTGTGTTTCATTCATTCATTCATTCTGTGTGCTCTCTTTTGTCTTTGAGAATGTATATCTTTATAATCGCGCACTCTAAATCTGTGAGAGCTTCTCTTCTGTTAGGAAAAGTCTTGCTTTACTGCCTTGAGATGTTTAGAGAGCAGCTCTAGCAAGTAGAAGCTTTATATCTCACGAGAAAATGCCCAGCAATAGCGGTAGTACTCTGGAGGTAAATGAGACTCTTTTCCAGTAGATCAAGACTAGTTATTGTTTTAATATGTGTGGGACTCTTTAAATCTTTCTTGTTGGTGAGTTACAGCTTCTTGAATTTCATCCCGAGTAAACTGTAGGTAGTCTAAAGGTCCTAAACTCTCTCAAATCACTCAATTTATATCTAGGCAACAGTATTTGTGCCATTATAATGTCATATAGCACTTATAAGAAGAGAAAAATCTGAAACTTCCTTCTTGTTGCAGCTAGGGCTTGCTGCCATCAAATAATTAATTAATAGTTGATGATGTCTTGCCACACCTCCAATTTGGGAGTAGCTGGATTAGCTTTGCATGCTGCTACTTCTGCAGGTAGTCTGGTAGATCAATACAAGCTTGCTGCTATCCCTTAGGAGTACACTTGTTTTATATATGTGTAATTTGCATGTTAAAGTTCTTTTAATTTTGATAATCAAACAGCTATAGGGGCGAGGCCACGCACCGTAGGTGTCTCGTTTCTCCATGGAATATGTTTCAAACTGTGGCACCAATGGAAGTGGAAAATTTAATTAAAGCAATCCTATAGTAGCACTGTGCTGGAATGCCATGCGATGCTATTTTTCTTTTACTGTAGGATATATAAAAACAACATGGTGTAATTATCATTTAATCTTTTTTTATAAAAATTAAACCACTCTTCTCAGGTGGATTAACATGTAAATGCAACCAAAGAAATAAGAAATTTCAAATTCAATTTATTTTGTTACTGGATACGTTGTCATCAAGGCTAAGAACTAGTAAGTTACAATCTAAGTCTTCTCTAGATAAAGGAGGTTTTCAACTTTATGTCTTTCAGGAGCAGAAAATACCTCCACCACTATTTGACTCTTCTTCAAGTGACCCCTGATTCTGACCAAAAGAGAGACGTTTAATCTTCCTAGTGTCACACACTAAGATGCTTCATCTTTATCAGACAAAACTGACACTGTGGAGACAGAGATGGTAAGACATGACTAAAGGTAGGTTACAATCAGCATGCATGAACATTGTAAAAGCACTCATTATTTATTTAGCTATTCAAGAAGCAAATTAATATAGAAAAAATGAACATGAGTTTCACTATCCCAATTAATTTTGAAATAGTCAATGTTTAAGATTATTATTCATTATTCAGTAACAAAATCTATTTGATACAAAGTTAACTTTAACAGTCATTCAAAATGTAGCTGGAGATAATGTTTTATGAATGCAGTAAGAGATAATAGGATCTTTATAGAATAAAGGAGCGAAAAGTAAACAGACAGAAGATTCAAATAAAAGAGAGAAACTAACATCCACGATATACGACTCTTGTGGCCTTCAGGGAAGAAGTGAAATCTGTGGAGTACTGTGTATAAATATTTCGATCATTACTAATTAATCACTTATTATTCATTGTAATTATTATTATCATTATTACTCATTGGCATTGTGAAGCTGCACATGTGCAGTCCTCCATTATTGATTTTGTGATTATTGCTCCATTATATGCTGCTACATTATATGCTGGTCATCAGCAGAGTTCAGTACTACTGCAGACTGCTGTAGGTACAGTAAGAAATATTTGTGGAACCGGACAAGGGATTTCTGCACGCATAATACTAGACTTAGGCAGTCAGAGATCTTACATAACACAGCAGTTAGCTGAAGCACTGAGGCTAAGGCTCTCAGGTACTAGGCCTGTGACTATAGTTACATTTGGTTCAAGTCAAGCACATCACCACAATTTCGACATTGTAAAGGTAAGACTTGTAGCTTTAGATGGCTCAATGATTGAATTAAAGATGCTGGTGGTTCCGTTGATATGCGAGCAAATTCACAGGTCTTTAGCAAAGGAATTTGTTGCTTCATATCCTCACTTAGCAAAGCTTGAGTTTGCTGACACATTAGAAGAGGTACAGTTTGAACCAGATATGTTAATTGGATCAAATTTTTATTGGAAGTTAATGACTGGTGAAGTGTTAAAAGGAAAGGAGGGACCAATGGCAGTAAATACAAGGATTGGTTGGGTATTATCTGGGCCCATAAAATGGGGTGGTCAGACAGATCACAGCTCAACACTGCTCACACACCCTCAAAGTAAGTATTGAAACAGGAACCAAGAAGCTAGAAGAGCATTGCAAAGGTTTTGGGAGTTAGAAGCCATTGGTATTTTAGACACAAATGATCATGTGTTCAATCAATTTGCTGAACATGCTACATTTAATGGAGACAGATATGAAGTTTCTCTACCATGGTGAGATACATTGATTTACATTCCTGATAATTATGATCTTTGTCTTAAACGAATGTGGTCACTGCTTAAGAGGTTGAGACAAGATACAGCCATTTTTAAGGCCTATGACAAAGTTATTCAGGATCAACTGAGCCATGGTATGGTAGAAATTGTACAGCATCCGAATGTAGTAATAGGCAATAGAGTACACTACCTACCCCATCATGCTGTGATAAGGAAAGACAAGGAAACTACAAAGCTAAGAGTAGTTTACGATGCATCCTCAAAGACAGTAGGACCATCACTCAATGAATGTCTTGTTGCAGGGCCTAAATTACAACAGCAGATATTTGACATCTTAGTTACATTCAGAACCTATCCAGTAGCATTTGCCGCAGACATAGAGAAGGCTTTCTTAAACATTGAGATAGCACCACAGGATCGAGACGTTTCACGATTACTTTGGATTGAAAATATTGAAGAAGATAATCCAAACTTAGTTGTTCTACGATTTCATGAGTCATGTTTGGATTAACTTCAAGTCCTTTCTTATTAAATGCTACTATAAGGAGACACCTGGAAAGGCATATTGAGGAGTATCCTGATTTAGTTCCCAAAGTAATTGAGGCTATCTATGTTAATGATGTGGTCTGTGGTGGAACCACAGAAAAAGAAGCTGAAAAACTTACGTCATTGCAAAAGAATTCCTACAACAAGCAGGATTTAATTTAAGAAAATTTATTTCCAACTGCACAGAGCTACAACAAAGGGTTTGTTTACAAGAGCAGGCAACAATATAGAAGGTGAATGAGGAATCTTACACTAAAACAAATGTAGGAAAAGCTATAGAACCACAGAATAGAAAGCATAAGGTATTAGGTTTGCTATGGGATACAGACAAGGATCGGCTTGTTTTTAGAATATGTACATTGGCAAAAGAAGCAAGAGAAGTATTCCCCACCAAAAGGCAAGTCATTTGTGTAGCCAGTAAGTCTTATGACCCACTTGGTCTTCTTAGTCCTACAACCATTAGATTTAAGGTCTTCTTTCAAAATCTATGCAAGAGTAAGCTTCAATGGGATGAGCCATTAATGGGGATATATTAAAGGAATGGCAACTTCTGGTATTGGGATTGTCACAAATTGAGGCCATTGGAATTTCTAGATGTTACTTTATTGGACCTGGAATTGAAACACAGTATTCCACACGATCCTCCATGAGACAGTTACTATTCATTACCTTTAGTATAATCAATAAACAAGGTCTAAAACAGTAAAAGTAGCTCATACTTTTTATCTAATTCTTTTATCATAGACAGTGTATTGGCCTGTAGTTAATCTAATTAAACTAATTCTTTTAACAAGACACTTGCCTGATAAAGCTATCAACTAAGTATCTCTTGCCGCAAACAAAGAGTATCAGACCTAAATCTATAATATAATTTGTATTTTCTTACATTTCTTTGTTGGTTTTTGAAATAGAGCTGGGCATGAAGCAATCCTCAATATCCAATACTGTATTGATATTACAGCAATGCCAGGTGTTGTCAGTTATTTGAAGTTTGCCATGTGGCTCCTGTCAGCAAACCCAATCTTTCTCATTATTTCTCAATGGTTGAGGAAGTGGAATTCAATCAGGTGAAATAGGTTGGGCCTATTTATATACATGTAACAAAATTTCTCTTATCAATATTGTTTTAGTGTAACTGTATGTATATATAATTATGATGTTGTTGTTATACCTACTATACCTTTCTATGGTATAACACAATGTTTCAAATTTTAACACCCAATAATCCAAATCTTTACTTCCAGTCTCTTGACATGCAACAGCAAAATCATGGAATAGGTTGTGGTGCATTTAGAAAAGGATGGCCAGTAATCAGGTGAGATGCTATGAGCAGCCATTTCTTGTTATTTTCATCCACCCTTACTTCTGTGGTACAATTTTAAAGGAACTTTTGGGTACTGTAAAGGAAAGGTAAATAAATTGTATTGTGAAAGGTTCAAGGAATTCATGAGGCAGATCTAATCCCAGTGTAGTCAGGCGTGGCCTGACCCTTGCACGGAGAGGAGGGTCAGGAACACCGTGTATATCAATCTTGTTCTCTGCTGCAAGATTTCTGCAGTGACAGAGTATTATGTCATTTCCTATTAATTAACTTTAATAATAATAGCAAACCATTCATTAAACAGTTCAAGATGGATCAAGATACTAAGATAGATGATGCTGCTACATATTTTGGAATTACTTTCAAGGAAGAGCAACAGCAGGCTATTAAATATTTTCTTAGTGGGAAGGATACGTTTGTGATTCTTCCTACAGGCTTTGGAAAGTCTCTCTGCTATCAGTGTCTTCCAATTGCTATTGGTTCTGAGTCTCCTATCATCATTGTTGTGTCTCCTTTGATTGCTCTTATGAAAGATCAAGTACAGAAATGTATATCTATAATATTTTGTTTTGATTAATTTGTAGGTACAAGCTCTTAGATCCAGAGGCATTAAGGCAGGGTTTTTAATTGGTGATGATGGTGATGATCATAGTGAAATGAAGAGAGGATTAATGGATGGAGAGTTTGAACTTATGTATTTTATACCTGAGGCCATTTTACAAACAAAGATATCGAAAGCTCATTGCTTCTCAAGCTTACCAAAGACGAATTAAAGGGCTAATTATTGATGAAGTGCACACAATCAATCCCAGTGCTGGTTCTGCACCCACTTTGTCTCATTCACTTACCTTTGAAGAGGTGTTGAGATGGAGAAGGAGGGGATGGAGAAGAAGTCCTTAGAACTGAGTCTGATCAACACTGCTAAATATTGTTGTCATTACAATGAAGGTTATTATTAATCATTGTAGTCCTTATCAGTTTCATTTTATTTCAATGAATATCATTAAACCTTTGATTGGCAGTTGTAAAAAACAACAGCTATTTCTATTGGAGTTTCTATTATCATCTTCATCTTGCACTCTAGGCCATCCCTAGTAGAGATCCATAGCTCCTGGCAATATCCTGTAGTTCCTGCTGCCCTTAAGTCTGCTCTGAGTGGTCTCCACTATTCCTCCTTTAGAGTTCTTCCTCCCAAAGTTACTACTCCTCTCACCATTCCAGATAATCAACAGCAGCACCAAATTATCATTTGGCAATCAAGACATGTTAATCGACAAAGTAGATTGCCAAAAAAATATTGTATACCAAAAGGTATGTATGAATGCATGGAAAGGGTTTTACAGGTGATAGATTGTAGATCATGTACTATATAAGATTCAGCTTCATGGGCCATTGATCATTCTTAAGACAATATACTGTATTATCTCTCTTTATCAACAGTCCAAAGGAACAGTTTAGAATATTTAATTAACAATCTTTTCCAATACTGAATATAAAAGGCATCTGAATATATCCATTATCATTAACAAATTGTTAATTCACAATAGCATCATTACCATACTCTACCCTAGGTCTCTTCAAATAAGGTCTCTAACTCCTTTTCTATTAGTCAATATTCAATAATATATAATTAACTATTTCAATCCAAACATACACTAGGAAAAAGGCAACATTCCCTTATCAAATGAAACTGGCAGCATATTGCATGTAATAAAACTCCTCATATTTCAAGGAACATGTAGTGTGCCTGCTACAATGTAAAAGTATCAAATCACCTCTCCTTAGGTGCATCAGTTCAAGCTCCAAGCAACAAGCTGCCAGCAACATGTCCTGATAGTGTATAATGGGACTGTCTAAAAAATGGAGAGCATATTGTCTTGTACCTGCTTCAAATACCAGTTGATTCAAGAAATAATGTAAACAGAAACTACAAGAAACCATGAATCATCCATTGACTGATCTATACAAGCAAACACAGTACAAGACAACTGCTTCAACATTCAAACATGAAAAGGAGCTGGAGACTAATCAATTCTTTAGTTATGAAGATACAATTATCATTTAAAGGGCAGAGAATGGTAGTTCCATTGATAATATAGCTTCATCAAGCTAATGCTAGCTCTATCAATGACTCCTGCATTGATTTTAATTAATCATAATAATATATTACTTTGGTTCATATTCCTCTTCATTAAGGAATCTTTGTTTTAAGGTATAGTTTACCTTATGACAGTATGCCATCAATATACCTTTTGATGGATACTAAACTAAACATTGGAATAGAAGTACTACTACTAGTGCTATTCTAGTCTTAATGTAATGCTAGTCCTAACTAACTAAACATTATAATGTAAACCAACCTCAAAGACTACCATACATGAGAGGAATATTGAATTTTACAATAGTTGCAAGTTCCTTATATATCATAGGACACTGAATGCAATCTATTGTCAGACACTGCTGTGGAAAGGATGAATGACACCGCAATACATTAAACTGTGAGTGTTTGTAAGCAAACACGTTGAACAGGGAGTTCCCAACCACTGTATGCTTACATGCACTTCCTGTCTTAATGTATTGCAGTCTCTAAACACAACACAGGCTACACAGCACACGTAAAGACCAAACAAATTACTTATTCATAAATTAAATTGACACCTTTTTGACACGTACCTTTTAATAAATTCATAATATATCCCATTCATAAAATTATGATGTGCCAAGAAGTAAAAAGATAAGCATCAATTTTAAACTTTAACATGAGATCACTCTGTTTTCATCCATCAAAAATTATGCATATGAATGTCCTGTAAAAATTCTAGCTGCTTCTAGTGTTGACAAAATATAGACCAATATAAACAATTCACAAAATAGCTCAAAATTACAATCAAATATTACTCAGGGTCATATCCAAGTAATCTATTAAATAAATGAAAAGACTTCATACAAAAAGATGCTCTATTTGATCTCAGTCTCCACTAGTCGTGAACTGTCCTTCAATTGCACTTTCTCATCAAAAATGACAAACTATCCATGTATCAATTCTATATCTTCATGGAAGTAAAATTAAAGAGTTTGTGATGATCTAGCAGATGATTGGAAAATCAACAATAATCTTGTAAATTTAGGACTTTCAATTTCATTAGAGGTGCAAAAGTCCAAAGATTGACTTATATGTAACAGACAGGAACACAAAATATTATCTAGTAAACTGTAGGACCTTTAAAGCAGGGTTTTCCACAAGTGAACTACACAGAATGCTTCAGGGGATAGACAAGCACTACAATACAACTTTAAAAATTCATAAAAGATCCAAAGTTGATGAAATCAGCTCAGAGAATACACAACATAAGAACATGTGTATCAGAATAAGACATGAAAATGGAGAATTCTCTCCTTATCATTCTTGGTAAAATTTGACCGATGACCCTGTACTATAGTACAGCAACATTGGGCCAAATTTGAAGCAACTTTAAGAATTCATTAAAAATCCAAATTTGATTAGAATTGATTAGCTCAAAGTTAATACACCACATAAAGACATGTGTCAGAAAATCAAGTTGAAGAATTTTTCCTTGGAATTTTGTCAAAATACCCTGCACTAGAGTACAGGGTCTTTGGTTCAATTTTTAAGCAATGTGATAATCCATTGACAAGAAGGTGCTAAGGATAATGCCAAATCCAGTGGTAAACCCTGAGCTGACATCAATTAACATTTTGCTGCAAGAGAACATAAATCAAAATGCCATCACTTGCATGTAAAATTATTCTTTCTTTGAAGTTTAGCAGCTCATATTAAGAGAAGTCTTTATATTAGGTGGATGAGGACTTAAAAGATCAAGATAACAGCTCAAGAACTGAATATCTCCAATGAGAGAGTCAAAGTTAGTATAATGTACAGTGTTGGTTCACTTGGTTGATTGGTGTACAGGAACCAAATCGATGAAATCACTTTGAGTATAACAGCTGGATCCTCTGTCTTATTGTTTAAAATTGTAAGACAATTTGAAGAGGAGACTAGAATAAAAGCAGGACTAGACCACATGAGATGTCACTTCTTGCGTCTTGCAATAATTCAAACAGGCTTCCTCATTCATGGTATGTACTGAAAAGGAGCTCATTAATCCTGATAAGTTTAGTCAATTTCTAAACTGATTAGCTTAAACCATCAAAAGATCCAGTATTAGTGTTTGGGTTTTCAAAGGGTTACCAATTTACTAATAGTTATTAGCATACAATAAGATGGGTAGGTTTTCTAAGGAGAATAAGTCATGTGTTGACCACATCAAATTTTACAAGCTGAGTCAAAATAGAAGATTGTAGAACCTCACAAAAAAAGATACCTCACAAACAGAACCTCATAGCTCAAGATGCAAAATCTGCAAGCCAGAACAACAGGAATTGTGTGTTCTTTACTTGATGCATCTCACTATAAATATCACAGTCCAACAGTAATAAAACAAAATCACTGCTCCACAAAATCACTAGAGCTCATTTGTGTATCATCTTGAGGTGATGGATACTATAGTACAAACTCATCAGATCCTCTTCAATTAATTAAACTGACACAAAGAGGAACAACAACAGTAGAAGACACTCTTCTAGTAGAGAATCATGTAGACAGACTAAGACTTGTCTAAATTTGAATACAGGAACACTCCCATCAAACAACACTACAGTAGTTTGTTGAAAACCTGGCAAAATGTACCACAATGATGGAAAGATTATTATAAATTTGACAAATACATTTTTAGTAAAACTTGTGGAAAATATCATCCTCAGGCTCCATACAATAAAAATACAATAGTGGAGTGCCTCAACATTAATAGGAGTCACAAATATTGGATGATTTGGATATCATTATCCCACTACATGCACAGAATGAAAAGGTACAAGTCAAAAAGGTCAATACTCCATACAAAATGGGTAATTATTTAGGGAGAGAGAGTTTCCAAATTCCAATGCACCTATAATCAATACGTGATACTGTAACAGTGTGTATGTTTACAAAACAAGGTATCTAGCTCGGGTCCTTACATGTGCATATGGATAAAAATATCCAACCATTGTAGAAGAGTGAATTCATGTCTATTCTCACAAATTTAAAGGTAACTAAGATAAAGTCTATATACTTTTAAAAAACCAATGTAATAATATACACTGTGGTATCATATTATATGGGCACATTGAACACTCTTTTGTCTATATAAATGTTGTACATGTAGTATAGCTAGAAACTTTCAGGGGCAATAAATTTTTGATGCTTTAAAAATAAAAGTTAAGGCAAAAATTATGCAAATCCTGGAAAAAAATACGTTTCCAGCTATAACAATTATTAACTCTAAATAATTATATCACCTTCTTCCCTCATACATTGATCCTCTAGTCTCTACAGCAAATGGTCCTAATGCATTGGATGTCATCATCAGAGACACATAAAGATGTAGGTAAGTCCTTTAGTTCTCACTGGCTGGAAGTTACACAGATAGTCTTTAAAACTTCGATCTGATCATTGACCTGGTTTAAAATAATGTAATATATAAATTCACATATAGAGACACTAACATGTTAATCACCAACTAAAATCGTTTTTTGGGCTAGCTATAAAATGCCATGTAGAAAATTCAATAAGTTATAAGCATTTGTGCAAAATTCAAATTCAGGTGGACTGACACTACTGGTCCTTTTTAATGGCAACAAATTTATAAATACATGTATATCAGTTAATTACGACAACATACCTCATTTTTACCGTGTTGGCCATAAAATGTATTCAACTAGGACATGCCTAATGTATAATAATACATAATAAAATAAATAGACCAATATGATAACATTTACCTTTGAAGAACAATCGATGGAATGAGTTGAATTTGAAGCCAACATCGTTTCTCCTCACTAACCAAATTTGAAACAAATAATGTAATACAAATTCACATAATAAATTGTATCATTTCAATCACATACAAAAACTGTAATATGGGCTATAAACAATGAGCTTAATAACTTAGAAGATAATAATGCCATCACTGTCATGTGTTAGGGCCTTTTCCCACTGGCACTGTTTTTGAAGCACTTTAAATGTACTTGGGTAAAACTGCTAAAATATGCCACTCATACTAGCAGCTAAATTATGAATCATGTTGTGTTCTTGTTGCCATCGATTTACATGATAAAATCACAATACATTTCCCATCAGCTCTGGAGGTAAAAGGCATTAACAATACCGTATAGCTTGGAATTTTCGTGGTCGATATTTTCGTGGTTTGCTCCTAGTGGGGCAATTCGTGGTTTAATTTTCATGGTTGACAGTTTACATAGCCTGTAAAGGGATGGCACTTCAATGATTTCGTGGGTTTAAATTTCGTAGGCAGCCCATAACCACAAAAACCACGCAATTTATATTCCACGCAATTTATATTCCACGAAAATTTCAAGCTATGACAGTAATTTGCAACTGCTCTAGTGTGAACACCATCAATGTGCTTTATTTTTGACAGTATGAAAAGGCATTTATTATCTAAACATACTTGTGCATTAATGTGGCCTAACATACTTGGTAGTGGTTTTACAAAATACTGAAATACATGTATGTCACTAGACATACCTCTTTGTCACAACTGATGCCCAAGAACCATTGGCCCTGGCGTGAGCTGCTCATCTTCACCAGTCCAGTACTTCTGCTTCTTCCCCTTCGAGATATGTCAACTTTCATTACAGTCACTCTGGTAACTGTAGCTGGCCCTATTTAGTCAGTACTCTACTTGCGGTGGTGGACTTGGGTTTAACTAAGCCATGCCAAACTATAATAATAATTCGACAAATAGGATAGCATTTACTTTCGAAGAACGATTGATCATAGATACGGCATGAATTGATGGAGGTAGTTCTCTTTTCTTACTCAACCACCATCTTGTCCTGCCATGTGAGTCGATTGCGCAATAATTCTGGGCATGCGCAGTAGGATAAGTGCTATAATACTGGCTTGTTGATACAACAGTACTGAGTGACCTCAGTTTGAACTTTTAAGTTATTTTTAGCCAGTTATTTTACATGTATAGGCCCACTGGCCCAGAATGTATCTTTCCATAAGTTCTTTGTTAACTTTAAAATGGAATTAAAAGTCAGTCTTCAACAGTTTCCTACTTTCCTCTAGATCTAGACTCTAGTACTAATTGGTATTGAAAGAATGGAGCACATCAGCAGCATGCATCATGTGTAGACTAGTGCACCATTTAATGTCACCATAGTGCTACTGTGCCTAATTTTGCTACTGCTTGTGGTAGTTATAGTTATCATTACGTCAGCAGCAATTTATCCAATTCAACTAATTTGGTTGACAAGGGTATCACAGAGCACCTTCCAGCTCTTTCAAACCAATTTTACTGAAGTTAACTAAAATTTTTTAACTGACAAAAGAGTCTGCGCACAAACATATTATGATTGCCAACACTCTTTCTAATATGCAAGATACAAGTACCTTTACTACAGGAGTGGTATTAACATTGCTATAGATACATGTACAGTAGTCATTCACTGTCACAGTAATCACTGTTAACCTATACTATTTAATTCTATTATTTTTAGTAACAATGACGCACTTTTGTGCTAGTAGACTAGACTACTTGCTAGAGATCATTGACTTAACTCACTCATTGCTCACAATTTTTTGAGAAAAGCCACTAAAGTATGTCATATGCAGAGAGAGGGAGAAAGAGTGGGGGAGAGTTCAATAAAACCTGATTATCATAATATCTTCCTTCTTTTAAGGAAAGGCAATGCATTTATCAATATGAGCACACAAAAATGAATTAAAAGGTAAATATTTAGTGGAAGGGAGCTTCTAACCATCAATTATTATAATATTGATTATTTTAGGCACATAGTGTTACAGCAATTTAAGATCCAAAAGTTGTACAAGGAAAGTAAAGTTATAATATTTTTTATTATTTTGCTTTCAATTCTTTACATTAACTCTGTGATTCCCTAAGTTATTGACTGTAATAATATAGGCTCCTACATGTGGTATATTGTGACTGAGCTTAATTGTAATTAAGGTGCAGAAGTGTTAGTCTATAAACAGTTAAGTCAATGGAAAATTGATCACTGATAACCTGCTAGAAGGTAGAAATTGTATTTGTGGACTTTGATCTTGTGAGAATACTACAAAGGTGTGTAGTGTAATTGGCAATTACAAATGTCAACATGGTTTGATCACTAGACTATGTGGGTGTGGTATATAAACTAACACTACACAGCCAAGAATTATCAGGCCATTACCTAAAGTCAATGATTCAAATCTGATGTCTATTTTCATGCCTGTTGAACCAGCACCGTATAGATCTACTCCTGCGAGTTTGTATCATTGCTGATCATCATGATTGTATCATATTGGAAGCTGATTGCTGTGCAGCCTGCCCAAATCCATAATACAGGAATGTGTCAGGCTGAGTCATGATTGAAATCAGTCATGATTCAGATTAAAATTGTTGGCTGTGATGCTTTGGTATAATAACTAGATACACACAGCTAACAGAAAGAAATAGCTGGCCAACTCAAACTTATTATTTCTGGACAAACCAGCAATAAAGTTTCCTACTAATTAGAAGATGTTCAACTGGTTTGCTTTACATCTATTGTTCTTAATCATAGCAGCCCCTGTTGGATCTGGTAAGAGAAACAGGGTATTACTTATTTATTGTTATTTGGATATTTCTACAGCATGTATAACATGTGTTCAATTAACTTGTGAACTTCTCATTTGATACATACATGTAACAGATAATATTCATTTGTGGCCTCCCAACAAAAAATTGCTGTTTTATGATATCCCTAACTGCGGTAACTATATCCTAACTATATCCCTGGTTATGTTTTTGCCATTACATCTGTTGGGATAAATTGATTAGAAGTATGTGCACATTTGCTAACAAATCCCAGGAATACATGTACAGTGATACACTTAATTTGTTTCCAAAGCAAGTTTGGCATTTTTTAATCTAAGAAGCAAAATAAAATTTTATAGTGGTGCACTTACAGGTGCCAATTTTGAAGCACAATAATAAAGGTGACTGTAGTTTTGTTTACTATTGCTTCTTTCTTTTATATGAAAACTGGCACAATGTTTTGCCAAGACTTTTGCTCTTTTTTGGAGAAAATAATTTATTGCACATATTATTTTTAAAATTTCATTTCATTATGCTGCTAATATGCTATGTGGAAACAATAGTAATAGTGATGATAATAATTATAGTATTTTATTATTTTCCTGTATGCAATAGTTATTTCCCACACAATTATACTTTGATATTACGTATTCAAAACTTAATACTTTACTTTGGCAGAGTTTTATTTTGGTGATTGGCAATTTGGAAGCAGAATCACCAATATTTAAATTTCCAATCATTAGTGTACATGCTCAGTAATGCATGTGTACACAAAAAATAGCCAAATTTTAACTGCCAATTACAATTTTAATGCAAAATTGCCCAGATAAAGTGCCACCTAAGTAAATTGCTATACGATATGTCACTACTATTGCTACAATTAGATTTATCGCTTGCTCTGGAAGCTTGGCTGAAAATGCTAGCATTGACTACTGTTTAATGCAAAATTTTTGAGCGCTGTAAACTTTTTGATTTCATGATTTTATAAAGATTTACGAAAATTACTTCCACAGCAATCAAATTATTGTGGTACAAGATGGGAGCTGGCATAAATTTGCAAAAATTAAAAAAGCAAAATAAATTTTTAGGCATAAGAGCCCTTAATCATAATTACTGAGCACAGCATGATAATTATTTTTTAAAACAGTGTAACAGGTTGGTTTAAAATATATTTTATTTTAGTAATTTGAATTTGCCAATATCAAATGACATTTCGTTATATGCCACCAAATAATCTGCTTTCGTTTTCACTAGATACTGTCAATTCAATTGACACTATTGGAAGATTGAAAGGTAATATGAAGTAGTTATACTATTAAAATAAAATGTGTCTATACCTACCATTTGCATGCATATAGCCCAAAGCACTAAATTTAATTTTCTTTATTGAAAATGAATCAAAGACCATTTGTAATTTATTAAATTTAAGCTATGCAAGCATATACATAATTATATTATTATAAACATGAGCTTCACAATTAATTTAGCATTACTATGTGGAACTCCATGGCCTATAAAATTAAGTCTATTTATCACTTGATTAGGCATTCCTAGTATTCACACAAATGAAGGTAACAAGTTTTGTTTTTCTTTTCTTCAAAACTATGAGGAGAACACCATTAATATACTTGGTATATATATTGGTACACAAGAAAATGAAGAAGTTCAATATAGTATAAAATCAAGAATCAATGGTGTTGCTAGAATTGGCACTGTTAAGCCAGGACAAATAAAAGAAGAATTGTATCAGTATACCTCCTATAGCAACTTTGAAACTGACTTGAGCTTCAATCCACCAAGAGTAAAAGGCATGGTTCCACTTAGATCAATAAGTGATTATACTGGTATTATAGTTGAAACTGTGGATAGTTCACATAAGATTTCAGTGATGGGTTTTAGTGATGGAGCTAAGACCTCAGATGGTTTTACTGCTGTTCCAATGGTCGACATGTCAAATATTATTTCAACAGACTACCAGTATTCAGTATTCACTGCAGGAGGAAAAGACTCTTCTATTGCAGCAATTACTACTTGTGATGATTTTGAGACTGCTGAGAATGTGACCGTTGATGCAACTCTTGTTTCTCAACAAGGAAGCTTTTTACCATTTAATGGATCCACCCTACCTTTTCAGAGTCATTACACTTCTGTTATCACCGGTTCAGATGATCTTCTTTCCAGTATCAATGTCATAGCTACTCAACCAATAGGTTTTATGACTGGTCACGAGTGCAGTAAAATTCCAATTGACCAAGTAGGCTGTGATCATCTCATAGAGCAAGTACCCCCATCTTATACATGGGGTTATAATTTTTTAACTGCTCCATTTCATACAAATAATTTTGGATACATATTGAAGCTTTTGCCTGGAAAAGACTTTGGTACTAACTTCAAAATTTTTTGTACAATAAATGCTACTGTGACTGTTGATACTACTGTTAAAAATTTTGTAAGGACAGATCGTCTTGTTGCAAATAGGGGAATTTTTAGCATTACTACTCAAAGCTATTGTACTATACAGTCGAATAAACCTCTTGCTGTAATGCAGTATGCTACAAGCCATCCAGCTAATGATTCTAACAGTGTGCCCATCACTTCTGTAGATACAATAAAGAATATTGGTGACCCAGCCATGGTATGGGTACCAGCTGTCAGTCAATACCTCAACAAATATTTGATAACCAATGATGTCTCTATTCGCTCACAGTCCTTTACCAGTAATGGCATTTATGTGACAGTTTTACCTCATTGTTTTAATGCTAGTGCTATATTAGATAATGGTATTCCACTGGAAAACAATGCTAGTAACTGGGATACTTTTCACTGTGATGATGTTACTGATATATGTGGTTATGGTGTGTCTCTTGATATTTTACAAGGAACTCATTTGTTAAAGCATATTGATTCAAGCTGTTCATTTGGTGCAATCATGTTTGGTTGGGGATACAAGAAAGGTTATGCTTATCCTGCTGGCTTTGGAATGAGACCTATTGGAGGTACTAATAATTATTATGTTACTGATATTAGTAAGGCATATGTAATATTTACTGTAGTAACATTTTACAGCATTGAGCCACTTATTTCATCAGCTCCAGAGAGTGGTCTAGTATCTGTTACAGTGTATAGGTCTGGTGATTTATCTGAAGCTAGTTCAGTTCAAGTGGGAGCCTTTATGTCATGTGAGCTTACCAACTATTTTTAATCATAATCATAAATTTAATTTTTTTTCCTGCAGCAAAACCTAATGCAGCAACAAGTGAGAGGCTATAATATCACTGATAGTATGTTATTTTCGTTTTATAGTTGGTGAAGATTTGGAGAGTCGAACAGAAACTGTATATTTTGTTGCCAATGAATTTTCAGCTACAGTTAATTTTACTTTCATAAATGACTATCTTCCAGAACAAGATGAAGTTTTTGATGTTAAGTTTGTTAACCATCATAAAATAAATATTGGAACACCTCAAGTACAAGAATTGACAATTCTTGGTGACTGTAAGTTTAACTTTTTTAAGCTTTTGTCTAAAGTGACATTAGACTATAGTGTTTTTGCACTTCAATTTTGCTTCACTTCTTATTTTTCTAATAGCTCCAATTGTAACTGGTGGTGGTAGTAGTCCTGGAACTGGTCCCAATGTTGTGGTACAAGAGGGAGATAGCGAAGTTAAAGTCTGCATAACACTCTCAGGATTAGCTGATTCCTCATATCCAGAACCAGTAGAATTTCTTTTTACCCCAATGGAGAAATCAGAAGCATTGCAGCCTGCACAAGGTATAGATCTAATATTATTTATGTCACCCCAAAAGTTGTCAATTTGGCAATTATCACATGTGTAGTAAAAACAATCTACTGGTGGTTAGCTCAGTTTTTCTAAACAATATACCTCTGGAACTGAGGTAACCCTCTAAGGGTAGTTTTAAGCACTTTTGCCACACTTTTCATGTTTGTACCATTAATTTGGTATTTAAGGCTACAAAAAGTTTGATGGAAAGTTTTTGCCAATTCTGGTTAGATTTTAAAGTAATAATTTAAATAAGTAATTTAAAATATTTACGTAATTGAATTGTCATCCTTAATTTTTTAAATTGAAGCCATTTTCTTATGTAGATGAAGACTATGATAATACAACTATAGCAGTTATAATGCCACCTGGTGATACTGAGGTCTGTGCACATATCAGTACTGTTGAAGATATGATTTACAATGAACCAAATGAGCAGTTTTGCATCAATGTAACATCGAATGTTTCAGTTGGTATATTTTATCCTGCACAGTGTCAAATAACAGTAACCATTATTGACATAGGTAAGAAGGAATTTTGTTTAAAATATATTTGTAATAAATAGCCCATAATTTGAACATTATTGTCTTGCTTAGTAAAATAGTGCATATATGATAAAATTAATTACTAATTTTGTGCTAATACATAAAAGATTAATCCTTTTTTTATTCCAAGCTAGTCGTAATTGCTACTACAAAATTGATTAGATATTTTTTTGTAACCCACATTGCACAGCTCCTACTGAAGATCCACATGTAGGAGGTGAAGCAGTTAGGCATATAGTATAAGCCTTGTCTCTGGTTGATATTACTATGTCTGTGTTATGGTTGCTTTCTCAGCAATGTAAAAAGGCTAATGTGAATGTTTGAAGGGTGTTGTTCCCTTCCTCTACATTCTGACTTAATTGCAGCTCATGATCATTGTACTTTATATTTGTATAATAGTTTAAGGGTTTTCCTGACTAATATAGACCCCTAGGCGCTAAGACTATTTTGAATGAATTATTTACGGTAGCCACCCACGATTAAAATTACTGCCGGACGGCAAGAAGCTCTCCACATCAAAGGCAGATCAAAACTCAAGGTGCTGAATTGAAGCATAGCAAGAAAACTATGTTGCAGCAAGAGTTACCTGGTCTATATGATGTAGTCTAGCCTCCATACTTTCCATAAATGCTGCTTGTAATCCTGTAGTACATTATAGCGCTCACAAAAATGGCCAGGCGGTGTCACTGCCTTTGATTTTCTTTTGATCTTGAGGCCTTCTTGCCGTCAGTAATTTACATTGTGGCTGGATACCGTATAGGAAAATTTTATTTATTATGAATGAATATCATTATTGTAATCATATTCATTGAAAATAATCTTAGCTCCTAGGGGGTCTATATTCTAGGATGTTACACAAAATTCTATACACAATTGCAGCTCAAAATAAGCAACAAAATAATTATATTGACTTCACAGTATAGTGATCAAAAATAAAAATTATCAATTACCTTTATATATAGTACCACATATTTCAACAAAATTCATGATGAGAGAATTCTAATTTTTTTTTAATTTTTTTTAATATACATGTATATGCATGTTCTTATTTTGTATAGAAAAATAGGGTGAATTCCAATTAAGTTTGAATTTTTATGTATTTTTAAAGTTGCTCAAAAATAGGGCCAACAACCAAAGGCCATAGCATTGTGTCTCAGTCTCAGGCCAAATTTCACCAACAATGGCAAAATTTTCATTTTTATAATTTATTCTAATGCATATAGGTACATGTTCTTGTACTGTGCATCAACTTTGAGCTGGTTCCAATCAAATTTAGATTTTTATAAATTTCTAAAGTTGATAAAAAATCAGGTCAATGACCAAAGCCCAAAGCCTTGGGTCTCAGGCCAAATTTCATCAACAATGAAAAGGAGAGAATTTTTATTTTTATAATTTTTTTTCTAATACATGGTCTTTTGTTGAGTATCAATTTTGAGCTAATTTTGATCAAATTTAGATTTTTTTATGAATTTAAAGTTGCTTAAAAATCAGGGTCTTAGGCTGAATTTTTTAAATTGGCTAGAAGAGAAATTTTTATTTGTATATTTTTTCTAATGCACATACATGCCCTTACACTGTGATATAACTTTTACCTGGTTCCAATAAAATTTGGATTTTTCAAGAATTCTTAAAGTTGCTACAAATCAGGCCAATGACCAGAGTCTCAGGTCAAGAATTTTGTCAAAAATGGCTACAAAAAAATCTATTTTTATAATTTTTTTTCTGATGCATACAATTGAAACAGTGCTGATCAAATTTGGATTGTTTCAAAGTTGTTCCTAATTCCTTTTACTGCATTATAGTCATGATTTATTTTACTAGCATGTTTTGTGAAGACATACTTAATTGATGATTATTATGTAAGTTGCTTTGTTGTTCAAACAAAAGGGTAAAACAACACAGAATTTGGTCGGACAATTGTCCAATGTCGAACTGTTATTTCATACTCTCATTTCACAGTACTTAAATTGCATTTCTTAATTTTTGTAATTGACTTGTTACATAGCCACTTAGGCAGGAATTAAGTTGTTTTTTTTTATTTATTGTTACCTTAAATTTACCACGCAGCTAGGTGTAGAGACAGTACAGTACTGTTGTTGTCTTGTATGTGTATGTGTTTGTGGGTCAATTTTTCTTCAGTCCAGCTCAGTATTGCTGCTTTCTAGTCTAGTTTGGTGCTTTAATGTCTTAATGATAACTGATGATTACATAAGTTTTCTCCAAACTCTAGCACTGTTTTGCTTATGCCTGTGGGGGAAAAAGACTGTGTTTGTGGTTTAAAATAAAAATATACAACATTAAAATAAAGCACATACCGGTAGAAGAAAAATACACTTGTTCTGTGTATTTTTTTAATTTTAAATTTCAGCTTCAAATCAAAAGCTTACACAAAGTAAGAATTCAAAATTTGACAAAAAACTCACAAATCCAAGATAGAACCATGCAGATCAAAACATTTTATTTCATTATTTTTACTTGCATGGTACAGACTAGTGACTTATAAGACTTTGCGGCTCTCCAGACTTTGTAGGGCTACAAAAATACAGTAGGACTATAGAGACTCTCTAATCACTTATGAAAAAATTATGCTTCTTCATCACATGTCATACTTCTAGGTTAATTATACACTAAGATGTTCTTATTGCCCAGCTACATATTTATTGTACACATCCTGCCAAGGATGTCAATGGTTTGGCTTAGCTCTCTTAATTGGCTCTTGAGCAATGAAATATCACAGTTTTATGTTTATACCTGTTTCTTAATTGTAATTATAAGCTGCATAGGCATGAGGGGTAATATATAGGAAGACTGGAGGCTTCAATGAAGGGGCTGAGCCCCCTTATGCTACTCATTTTGAAATGCCTGAAAAAATATGGTTTTCATTAACCATTTAGTATAACAATAAATTTATTGACCAAAAAGCGGTAGTATGGTCAAAATCAAGGTTTGATATGTGTGCCATTATCTTCAAACCTCACAACAGAGTCAAACTTCCTATGCCACTGAGCAAAATTTATCATAACAACTTTGTTTCACACTAATTGCATATGCAACCTATTGCATGAAGTATAGAGAATCTCTTTAATAGCTTTATGTATCATGCATCAAACTTAGGCCACAAGATAATTGTAGCAATGTTTCCTATGTTCAGCTATAGCTTTGAAAGTCAAAACTATAAGGTTTTAACTTGTGGGCTGGCACACTGCACTTTAAAACTGGCTATACCACCTTTGAAAGCTAAGCAATGCTCCAATAGTGTTTGGAGATGAAATAAGCACTGTATCCAAGACTATATTTATGAATGACATGCATATGCACAAATGTGCCTGTTGATAATTATTTTGATCTCATATTACAGGTACTAGGGGATCAATTGATATCAGTAGGAGACTAAAAGGTATATAGTTACATTATTAGTACTTAGAATATTATGGAAAATTGAACATAAAGGAAATAATGAGGGCAAATGAAGCACAGTGTGTATTAGACCTACTTATTACTATACATTAGAGGGCTGATCCAGAAGGTGAAAGAGGCAGAAAACCACCCCCTTTTGGGCATAATTAAGACCCTCCTTATTTTATTAAAATCTAAAATAAGATGCACAATAAATGTAATTATTGCAATGAGCACTCATGTTTTAACACCTGTACTGTAGACAAAGATTGCAAATAGCCTGTTAGGATGACCTTTCTTCACTCCCCCTTTTATCAGTATTTTTAGATCAGCCCTTGAAATATCTTCTTAGTAGACTGCATGCATGTGATTAATCTAAATGAAAATCAGAAGTGTAATTGCAATAAGCCTTAATTTTAAGAATAGTATAAGCATATAGAAACTAAGATTTTATAAATGTACATTGTATATACACAGTCATAAGATAATTGGTATTAAACTGTGTAGACATATTTCAAGAAATAATAATCTGAATAAATGAACATTATTGCAGCACTTATTTCATTAGGTATACCAAAAAGTAATACTACTGAAGGAAACAGATTTTGTTTGTCTTTTTTTGAGCCACCAATACCTACCATTTTTTTAATAAAAATTGGTACACTTGAAAGCTTTCCAGTTAAATATCATATAAGTTCAGGAGTCAATGGAATCAATAAAACTAATACTGTTGAACCAGGATCAATCAATACGGAACAGTATCGGTATATACCTGGCAACAATGAAAGTAGATTTGCAGATGATGAACCTCTTATAGCAAACATGACAATAGATTTTTTTAACAGCAGGGATATAAATGACTTCACTGGAATTGAAATTAAAACAGTAAATAGCTCACATAAAATATCAGTTACATGTTTCAGTAAGACTACTATAAGAGATGATATATTATATCCAGCAGCTGTGGATAGTTTTGTGGCAGTTCCAATATTTAATGTGGGATCAATTGCACAACAGTATAACTACTCTATGTTTAATCAATATGGTAATGATGATTTATATTCACAAACAGTAGCAGCAATTGTGGCTTGTGATACAATTGCAGCTGGAGGGATAACACTTGGTTATTCTAACACTTCAATTCCTGGCCATTACTTTGGGACACTTGATCAACGAGGACTTCGTTCATCACAAATTAAGTTTAAAAAGTATTACACTCCTTATATTCCTTCTTCTCCAGCTGGTACTGATGTTTATGCCACTCAACCCATTGGGTTTATGATTGGCCATACATGTCTTTTCTACAAGTCATATTACTGTGATTATCTCATTGAGCAAGTACCTCCATCATATACATGGGGATACAACTTTTTGATAGGGCCATTTAGATCTCTCTCCATGTACAGCACTATTTTGAAGTTTTTGCCTAGTAAAGAAATTGGTACTAATTTTAAAATATTTTGTGCTAATAGTACTTCGGTGACCATAAATGTACTAGTTCAAAACTTCACAAAAGCAGATCATATGGTTTCAAATAGGGGTATTTTTAACATTGGTCTTCAAGACTATTGTACTGTACAGTCAAACAAACCTCTTGCTGTGATGCTGTATCTTGAATTGTTTCAACTGATACGTAAGTCAATTCCTGATATGGTTTGGATACCACCTGTCAGTCAGTACCTGAATAGATATTTAGTAACAATTGATGCCACATCATATTCATTTTACAGAGGTGTATATGTGACAGTTTTACCTCATTGTTTTGATGCTAGTGCTGTATTAGATAATGGTATTCCACTTGAAAGTAATGCTAGTAACTGGCATACTTTTCACTGTGATAACATCACTGATTCATGTGGCTATGGTATTCCTGTTCATATGCGACAACTAGGAACTCATTTGCTAGAGCATACTGATCCAAGCTGTTCATTTGGTGCAATTATGTTTGACTTTAGGTATGGCAAAGGTTATGCTTATCCTGCTGGTTTTGGAATGAGACCCATTGGAGGTAATTTAGAATATTTTTTATGTGACATGCCATTGTATGAGATTCATTACTCATGCATTTATTATTTGGATTGTTTTTCCTATAGTGACATTTTACAGTATTGAGCCTCTTATTTCATCAGCTCCAGAGAGTGGTCTAGTATCAGTTAATGTGTATAGGTCTGGTGATGTATCTGAAGCTAGCTCCGTTCAAGTGGGAACCTTTATGTCATGTGAGCTAACAAGTCAAACATGCTTTTATAAATTTCATGTATTTTTTCTTCCTTTGCAGCAAAATCTAATGCAGCAATGAGTGAGAAGCTATTAATATCACATATATTATAATTTGTTTTTAATAGTTGGAGAAGATTTGGAAAGTCAAACAAAAACTATAAATTTTGCTGCCAATGAGTTTTTGGCAACAGTTAATTTTAGTTTTTTGAGTGACTCTGTTCCAGAATTAGATGAGGTGTTTTTAGTTAGTTTTGTTGAACATCAGAACATCAATATTGGGACACCATCAGAAGTTGAACTGACTATACTTGGTGTGGAGTGTGAGTTTTGATGCTAAATGAATGATGCACATCACAGTTAAAACTATATGATCATATTTTGTATGAAAGGCAAAATACCCTGTGGTATTGCATACATAAGCATCCATATTAAGTTTTTTATTTTTGAAATTCTGTATTTTTATTTTTTGTTGTTTGAATTCAATTTGTAGCTAATATTTTAAAGTTTACTGCTGATAATTATTGTGTGCACGAGGGCAATACTTCAGTTTATGTGTGTGTAGAAAAGAGTAGAGATACTGTCGATAGTGTAAGCCTTAAGATTACAGCAATGGAAGACTCAATACCATCTGCTGCTGAAAGTAATTCATACTTTTGAATTGTGTAGCAATATCATTAATATGTCAACCACAAACATGGCTATATTTAATATCTCTTGGTTGTCAGCTGTAAATATTTACTGCTTTTCCATAGATATATTTGACTTTGTTGCTGAAACAAAAACTATTGACTTTCCTGGGCCAAGTAAACAAGCTTGTGCTCAATTTCAAATAATACAAGATCCCTTTGTTGACTTCAAAGAATCTATTGAAACATTTAATGTCAACTTCACTGCTACAGGGGATTTAGGTAGTGGTCAAATGATGGCTACTGATAAATCTATTGTAACTATATATGAAAGTCTGCCAGAAAGTAAGCACAATAAATTAAATTCTCTCATCAATGAGCTTTGTACTGAGGCCATTCCTATTCCTTCCTATGTGTGTAATGATTGTTAGCATGTAATTTTGCGTTAGTGATATACAGTACCTGTGTATTCAAATTAAATGCATAATTTATGAGCATACATATTACATTTCAATTCCTGTTTTTAGTTTTTGCTGACAGTATTTCAGGAGCTAATAATGTTTTTGTACCAGAAAGTCAAGAAAATGTGACTGTTTGTGTTAACAGAACCTTCAATTTTTCATGTACTAGAAATGTTACATTCAGAGCCATGGATAGTGCATTAAGTATTAATGGTAAGAAATTGAACTATGAGTATCTTCATTCAGCATTTTCATAGCTAAATCTGGTAGTGACTTTGTTGCAGAGACTAAAGAGATGCCATTCACATCAGATGATCTCAGAGTTTGTGCAAAGTTCATAATTATAAATGATGACATTGTTGAAAAGAATGAGTCATTTCTTATTACTGTAATGGCACAAGATCACATACCAACAGTTTTAACAATCAATATCACAATCACTGATGAAGATGATGGTAAGTATCTCATTATAGTAAGACCTATAGGGAGCTTTGTTGACTGTTCCAATATTAGAATTTTAGCAGTGGCAATTAATGTTATGTCAGTGCAATAAAAACTTTATGAAATTGGTGTAATGTTATAGCATTGAAGCATAATATTAAATTCATTAATTTCTTTATGCAGCTGCTGTGATAAGTTTTACGAATGACACATACACTTTTCCTGAGAATATTGACTTGGATGCTCAAGTCTGTGTAGAGACAACAAAAGAGCTCAGTGATGACATTAGAATTAATTTTACAACTAGGTCTAGTGATTTTGATGGTGCTGCCACTGGTAAGTTGAGAAATCATGTTGTTCATGTTGCATACATGCTTTAGCTTATCTCATGATCACTTTGATGCTCCTATAATTCTACTGTTATTTGCAAACGTATAGTAACTTCAAATAAAATATACCTTTGCCAAACTATTAGGTATGAGTTCTTTTGTTTTATACTTTTACAGCTGATTCTGATTATATTTCCAAATCTGAAACCAAGACACTTAGAAGTGGATCAAGGACAGTTTGTATTAACATTGAAATCAAGCCTGATGTTACTAGAGAACCCACAGAATTCTTTTATGTGCAGCTTGAAGTTCTTAATTTAGTTGAACTAATGAACAACAGTTACTATGGTCCGTCAAGACTCAATGTATCAGACAGTGAACCAGCAGTTGTGTACATTACAGATACTTCTGTAACAGGTCATTGTTTATAATTGATACTTATCATGTCACATTTAGACTAGATCTATTTTGTGTAAAGTTAAATTTGTTTTAATCTTTATAGGCTGTGAGTCAGTTTATGCTGACTTAATTTTGCTTATTTCGGAATCATCCAGTATGCAAGAAAATCAGTTCACAATGGTGAAAGACCTTGGTGCTGAGATATTAAATCAACTGCCAATCGGCAAAAATATGACACATGCTGGTATAGTTAGGCTCAGCAATTCAAATCGTACACAAATTATTTCTCCTCTTGGTAATGTCACTGATTTAAAACAGTTAAAACAAATTGTCAGAAATATTAGCATGGATGATAAAGATGATAGAGGTTTGGCAACTCATCTGAATTATTCCATGATTTTAGCTATGACTGAAATAAAAAAGAGAGGGAGACCAAATTCAAGGAAAATCATTGTGATAATAACTGATGGCCTTCATTCACATGAATCATGGCCTTATAACATAGCAAGAAATGCCAGAGCTCTCGGCTATGATATATTTGCTGTTCGTTTGTTCACTGATGCTTCACTTTCTAATTGGGAAGAACTAACTGGCTATAAAGAGAGAGTGCTGTTCTTGAATACATTTAATAGTGGTCACTCAGAAGGAACAAATTTTTTTATAAGTCAAATCTGCAATATTATTAGTAAGTATATGCATTTTTTTACCAATGTATAGTTTTTAAAAATCTGTAACTTTGAAGGTGTTAGTCCCCAGTTATTGAACACTATTGGAGAAGAAAGGAAAATAAATGTTGGGGAAACTGTATCATTCAACTGCACTGCAGATGGAGTACCAGTACCAGATTTAGTGTGGCGAAAAGATGGAAAGTATATAATCCCAGAAGCAAATAGAAGAAACACTTCATCATCAGAACCTACTGATGGCTTTCGTATAAATGATATACCACAAGTAAAGCAGAGGACCAGTGAACTGATCATTACTGATCTAACTGTGTCTGACACTGGCAAATATTCATGTAGAGCTGATAATGGAGTTGAAAGAGGAGTTGTATTGCATATCCCATATCACCTAACTGTTGAAGGATGTGAGTAAAAAACCTATACTGCTTTAAAATTGTTAGTTTTTGTTATAATAGTCAATGAAACTAATTTTTGTCTCGATTTCCCTTGCAAGAATGATGGAACATGCCAGAGTTTGGCAAGTACATATATCTGTAATTGCCCTGAGACTCACACTGGAAGAAACTGCCAAGAAAGTGAGTCAATTGTTTAGTTGGCTTTGAGAGAAGAGACAACTAGTATTAAAAAACATATTTTATATATATTGTAGGAGTGAGATTTACAGTTAGACCAAAAATAATTGAATTCCGTCAACCAGTCAATACTCAAATATATTCTTCAGTAAATTTCACATGTAAAGCTATTGGCTCACCAGCTCCATCCATTCACTGGTATAAGAATAACAAGTTAATAAATAGCACTGATCCTTATTTGCTAATGTTTAATGACCTGAGTCTAATGGACAGAGGAGTATATCACTGTGAAGCTAGGAGTGTCATTAATGGTGCAAATATAAGTGTTAATACTACTAAAGTACTACTCAACATAGAAGGTAACAGCACGTGAATCAGAAATTTAATGCTTTATTCCTTCATAGATGTGCACCAGTATAAGGCAATTATGTCTCTATCTGATGATTTCTATGACAGATTAAATGAGTCTGAATTTATTAATGGAACCATTCAACAGCTTGTTAAAGATATAAATTATAATTTATCTGGCAGAATTATTGGCAATTTTACTTTATTCTTTATAGAGTTGCTTAATAGTGATGAAATTTAGTAAGACTCCTAAATATTAATTCATTTAATTTAATATAAAATTAATTTTTGTCTGACTATTAGTTGATTCAGATCTCTTATTATTTTTCTTTTACTATAGCCCTGATGATGATCCTGAGAATGTATCATTGTTAATTACATTAATTGCTAATAATCAAACAAATTGGCTTAATCAACATATAGCAGATGATTTAGGAAATTTATTAGGGTCAACAATCACTGATGTTGTAAGATTTGGTAAGCATATCTACTACTTTTTATAACTTATTATGCATACGTGATTCTAATGCATGATTCCAATTTTATAGATGGTTGCCCAACAAGCTCTACAACCTTATTATCTGATTCTGGTGATCCAAAACTTACATTAACAATCAAATGGCCTGAAACTAATATTGGAGAAATAGCTGTAGTTAATTGCCCATGTGGTAGTAATGGTACGTCAGCTGGTGGTACCTTGAATGCATCTCGCAATTGTGGAGGTGATTTCACTAATGGAGCTCTGTGGCAAGCACCTTCTGTATTGAAGTGTAAATTAAGGGATTTAGCAAGAATGATTTGTCAACTGAAAGACGTGAGCAAATAATATTTTTCCCTATACATTTTAATTTTTTTCAATATCTAGAGATTGTTTCCTGGTGTCAGTTATGCATCAGTGATTGATATGCTTAAAGAGCTTAAATCTATTACTAGTAACAGTAGTGAGATAGGATATACTGAAGTAGCTGCAGTTGTTAGTGTCTTAGAAGCTGCTGCTGAATTTGCTAATACAATTGCTGAAAATACAATGGTAAAATATTGTTTTTTGATGAGTGTGTTATCAAGGTGGAACACATGTTTTTGAGAAATTATCATTTTTTTCATAGTTAATTACATCATTGTTTGAAGTAATTGATAACATATTAGCTGTTAATCAAGAGATTTTAATAGAGTGTCAGGCACTGTCTAATAGCTCATCAAGGTTAAATATAAAAAAAGTTTAGCGTTGAATTATAAATTTTATCTTATTTGTTCTTTTCTCCGTAGAATTCTTGCTATCATATCTAATATGGCTGCTATTATAAATGTTACTGATGCTTCAACTTCAAGGCATGTTATCAAAAGTCATAGGTACTTTGCTGTTTCCGTTTACAAGAGTAATTTTGAAGGCTTTGGTGGTCAGACATTAAGCATCAATCTCACAGACTTCTCTGAGTCAAATGTTAATTCATATAATATAACACTTGAACCTGAAGGAAACATTGTTTCTTCAACTGGCTCTGTCACATTGCCTAGTAACATTTTAAATTCATCTAATATCAACAGAATCACCAATGCAGTATATTTTACTGATTCACTGTTTCTCAGGCGCAGATCCAATTATTTTGATCATGATGTTAGCAGTATAGTGATATCAGCAAGCATATTAAGAGATTTTAATGCCATTAAAGAACTGGAGTCTCCTGTCAATCTTAGTTTTCAACTTAATCCTGTGAGATATAAAGAATGCAATTTTTACTATTATCTATATTACTATTTACTTAATAGAATATCAATGGCTCATTCCCTCAATGTGTTTTCTGGGATCAATCTTTAAACAGTAAGAGTTTAAAATCTGATAATTTAACTTATTCTTGTATAGGTGGGTATGGTGATTGGTCTAGTGATAACTGTAATACTTCATATGATTCAGTTACGCAAGCAATCAAATGTTTTTGTAATCACTTGACTAGTTTTGCTGTAATACAGGTATATTACAATTATTTACAATGAATTAATAAAATCTATACAAAGTCATAATCCATAATTATTTTAAAATTATTATGACGCAGATGCTATCATCAATTAGACATACCTTAGGGTGGGTATTAATTGCGCTCTTAAATTTTAGCGTTTTTGTACTTGTTTACACAAATACATAATAACTATTATTAGTGGCTGGTTGAATTAGCGTTTTGAAGTACACTCGCTAAAAACGCAAAAATTAAATGTCGCAATTAATACCCACCCTAAGGTAGTACATATAAATGGAATTTTTAGAATTGGTACTTTAGCAGATCTGTAATGACTCACTTATGTTTTGTAGAAAGTTGTTAGCTGATTTCGATCATAATTATATTTTTATGAATTTTTAAGCCTTTGCTCCAAGATTAGACCAAAGTCCCTGTACTGTAGCACATGGTCTCTGGCCAAGTTTTATCACTGTGGCAAGAAATGATTTCTAGATGTTTTATGCATAATTATGCATGCATTTATGTTGTGTAGAAAGTTAGAACTAATTTTAATCAAAATTGGATTTTTTGTGAATTTTTAAATTTTCTCCAAAATTGCACCAAAGTTCCTGTAGTGTAATACATGGTTTCAGCCCAAATATTGTGAAAAATCACTGAAATAATTTCTCAACTTTTATAATTTTTTTTTCTGATGTACCTATGTTTTGTAGAAAGTTTTAACTGAATTTGATAAAAATTAGATTTATTATGAATTTTTAATTTGCTTCAAACTTGGATCAAAATTGAGAAGGAAAAAAATTCTCTTTTTTATAATTTTCTGTGATACGTACATGTACTAATGCTGTGTAGAAAATTGGAACTAATTCCAATCAAAATTTGATTATATATGAATTTTTAAATGTGCTCAAAAAATTGGACCAAAGCTTTGTACATGATCTCAGCCCAAATTTTATCAAAAATAATTATTGATGAGGAGAGAATTCTCAATTTTTTTCTGATGCATATATGCATGCATTTATGTTGTATAGAATCTAGATAGTTTTAACTAATTCCAGTTAAAATTTTATTTTTATAATTTTTGAGGTTGCTAAAACTTTTTTTAAATAAAATAAAAAATAAAAAAAAGTTTGAGCAACCTCAAAAAAATTTTTTTAAAGTTTGAGCAACCTCAAAAAT